CTGGACACTATTGCCAAGCTAACCCAAGCCGCAGGAGGAAAGGTATAAAGTATCTCCATGAACGACCGTAGTTCATTTATTCACGATTGAATCGTGGACTTGATTTGGGTATTTGTGTACCTTAATGTATGTCACTATGTGAGGCATCTAGATTAAAACCAAAATTGTGTAAGCAGATCCTGAAATGTTTTGATGATGCCTTGAAACATAATGATGAATCGTACACCATCATTCTAGCTTGAGAGGACAACAAAGAACATGAAGTTTCAAAAGCAGGACTGCGAACTTTCACTGGCGAATGGTTTATGCAAGTTGTAGTGAAGCAAAAAAATAGATTTGAATGAGAAAGTCACGGAAGACGTTCATGTATCGTTGCCTCTGTATGGTTTATAGTATGTGCCAAGTCCAAACAGCTCAGTCATGAAAATGAATTTCAAGTATCTTGAGCAACACAGCCCTTACAGGATATCGAGTTGGAACCATCCTAACCTTTGTACCAGGCTTCATTTTACACTAGTATTAGAAATAAATTAGGATATTTTTGTACAATTGAGTTCCAAATGAATGTATATTATCAGAGTCTTGTATGTTCCAAATTTTCGTTTAAGTGACTATTTGACTTCAAATTAAAAAGTAGCATATAGATTGACTATTTGTTGCAACTGTGAGTCTGGATAATCTGTACTCACTGTCTCATAAAAGAACACAACTTTGAATTGTTTAACACCAAACCTCAATGCGCCATGTCTTATGTGATGAAATTCAAAATCTTACAAGCCTTTGTCATAATGTTTTTTTTACATGGTTGGTGGATGACAGTATGTATGATAATATTAACAATTAATAATTTTTTATTGTTTAAGTTCATTCTGTTCATGTAATAATTTATTTACTAATTTTGATGAGTTATAAAGTTATGCCCCTCAAACCATTTGAAACTCCAAACAAGCTTGTTATCTTGCTACTCCAATTCATCATTTATAGTCTATAACTCCTCATTAATGTTTTCAAATTACAAAAATTAAATTAAATAAATTATAATAGAGACATTTACAAATTCAAGCAAAGGTTCATGTCAGAACAATGCACAAAAATGTACTTACAACTCTTAGAAAGACACAAAAAGGAAATCAAGAATTGATGTTCAGAAGAGATTTAGAACAAAATATGACAATCTTTTCAAGTTTGATAAAAAAGTTTCTGTAGACACCATGTTGAATTTTCGGACAAAGAAAAAATCCTAACATCCATCTTTTGAATGTGATATCTATGAATGCAACATCCAAGAAGTGTCCTTTTAAACCATATAAAATATGTATATATATATATATATATATATATACACATACACATGTATATGTAGATATGTTAATATGTAGGAGCAATTTGTTTGCTGTGGGAATAACATATTATTTACTCATTGAGATGTAACTAAGAGCAATACAATCTGGATGGACACACAAATGGGTGTATGACATTATAAATGTATGAAAAATATACAAACAGACAGAAACCTCTCTTACTTTAATAAAGAAGAAGATGTTATATGTGTTGTTGGGTCTATCATTTGCATGGTTGTCTACACAAAATTCGTTGAAGTCTGAGCACACGAAGACGATGAGTACATGATTTGCGTGAGACTTCGATGACGATGCTATGTAACCGTCGCAAGGATTGTGAGAACGGCGGCATTGAGGAATCGACGTCGTCCGCATGCAGCACTTGCATGAAGCTGTTCCTCCGCTTCTGATTTGCAATACTTTGCGTGGAATCTCCTCAACGTGCCGACGGTGTCGACGGGATCGACTGAATTTGTTGCCTTGTCTGCAGCGATGAAGATGGGCCCCTTCTCCATCATGGGAATCTGGTTCGTCGTTCTGCTTGCTGCAGTCATGCTCATGGTCTTCCTCTCGCACTCAACCACGGGGCCCTTCACAATTCTGGACCTGCGCGAAGTAGCAGCCAGCGCCAGCACCAATTTCATGCCTAACAATGTGTCGAAGGTTGTAAACACATAGACTTACCCTATGCCTGCCTGGGTTGTTTAGCAACGTCGTTTAGTCACCTCCTGCTTTCGATTCGAGGAAAATAGTGCTGAAGTTCCGCAGAGTCCTGGAAGCAAAGAATGCGGTTCCAAAGTTCAACGAATATACCCAACGATTGTTCAGATCACAGCCGGGATCGAAGAGTGCGTTACCACACATCAAATCCTCAACCTGTCTGCCATCACGTCACAACCTGATTCATCTAAGATTCTATGGACTTCGGCTTTGGCAATGGGAGTGATCGACGCAAGGATCAGCAAATTTGAGTGTCGTTCGCGGTTCTCCATGCAAGTGCTTCATGTTGTGGATCGCAACGGCATAACGAAACTGGCAGCACTGATTACACACGAACACTAATCTACTCGGCAAGGATTCATGGGCCATTCATTAGCGAGGGAGACGACCCATCTCAGTTTCAGTTTCAGTTCCTTCGATGAACTGCATGAGAATTACTTCCATGAGGATTACTTTGCATGAGGATTACAAATACAAATCGGGACCCGAAGGCAACGAGAAGGCGCATGCAAGCGACAAGTTGGCTCATTTGGTGACGCGCTGCGGCACTTCTGCGTCAATGGCAGCGGTGGCAGGAACCGACTCTTCTGCTCCATTTGATAATGGACGTCGACCAGAGGTCGAAGTAAACCGTGACGGTAGCCGTGGCGATGGTTGAGGTTGGAATGCTCCAACTTGAGTAGCTTATTACTTGAGGGTTTGTGAAGGTACCAAAAAATCTACACAACTTCCTTCGTTTGTATGATACATTTTTATTGACACATACATGTTTTGTCACATCAAAATTGAAATAATCCAAAATGAAAAATATTGTGAATAAACTAAGATTTTGTTGAGTTGTATATTAAGTTAAAAAATGTGTTGGTCTTTCTTAAAATATATTATCAATTATTTTTTAAATGGGATTTCAATTAGTTATATATAGAGTATTGCTAATGTCACCACAATTTTTTTCTATTGTCATAGCAATGTGCCACCCACTCAACATATTTTTAGTTTTTTTTCAATCAAAATATTTTTTTAATATTTTTAATACATACATTGAATCATGATGAAATGGTTGTAGTGAAATTAGAATTAATTTTTCTATAATAGAAAAAAAAATGTGTGTTTGATGGATGGAAAAAACTTCTTTAGATGCAAGTGTTATTTATTTTTGAAATTTTATTTATGTGTTTAATATTTTTATTTATTTAATCATCTATTATATAAATTTGATTTCTACTTGGTATTTTTAGATTTTATTGATGCAATATTTTTAATTAAAATTTATTTAAATAATCATGTAAAATAAATTTACTTTGTAACAAATGATTAGAGTTAAATTATAGTAGTTAGATAGTACTTAGAATAAAATCATATATAATAAATTTAATAAGATCTATTTAATAAGACATAATTTTCCGTTATATTTATATTTATATTTATTTATTTGGCTTTATGCAACATCTTATGTAAAAAAATTAAAGTTATTGATTTATAGCCATGTATAGATACAAATTGAACTAAAGCAAACATAAAGAATGAAACTAATAGAAACTTTAATTTTTTCTATTTACATTAATATTTTTGAATGAGTGACTTGAATTTCTTTAATTTATTTAAAATTTTAAAGATTTAACATTCAAAATGTAATTTTTTATAATTTTTATGTATGTAATGTTTATAAAATATTGTTATATAATGATATATGTATATATATATATATATATATATATATATAAGAATCTAAGAAGCTTCAAATGAATATGAAGAATTTCTAGAATAACTAAAAACATCTTAATACGAAATTAGTCTATTTTAAATCTTGGATGGTGTTTTAATTTAAGTTGCTTTTTAAGATCACATGCATTCAATGCATCTGAGGTAAATATTTATGAATTGGTGTATCAAAGAATATTCTGAAATTGTAATCTGTCTGAAAAACATGTTATCTAACAAATTTTGTTGAATGATTTATTGATGGCTTTTTTTTAAAAAAAATAATACTTTTTGTGAGTACATACATACATACATACATACATACATACATAATTCCTTACACATATACATGCCTATGAATGTTTTTGGTGAGACTCTATACATTGAATGGATTCGAAGGGAAGGCCAGTGCCAGCAAAGATGAGGACAATTATTCTAACAAAAAGAACATAAACCAACACAGAAGAAAAATGAAAAAAGAAAAATATAATATTAGAATAAAATAAAGGATTGATTCACGCACCTCAAATACAGACTATTGGAAAAAAGCAGATAAAGCATCAAGTGAGACAGTGATCAAGCTCAGTACTTTCCCACGGATGCTTTAATTGCGAGTATTTTATGAGACCACCTACCAGGTATCAATGACCAATTTGTCTCTTCACAGCCCCATGGAATTCCAGTACCCTTCCTTTATTCATTTATTCATTCATTCTCACACACAAACATTCCACATTTTTGTATCTTAAAACAGCCAAAAACACATATGGACCATCTGTGGACACTGAAACACTGCCCCCCCCCCCCCCCCCCCATAGAACCGTGTCGGTGCCACCTGATTTGAGGTCTAGAACGGAGTTTTGCAAGCACCCAGCTGATGAAGTTGGCGGTGTTGGAGCTTCTAATGCATCTTTTAATAACAGCATATTGATTACATGTGTATGAATCTGAATATATATATATATATATATATAGAGAGAGAGAGAGAGAGAGAGATCAAACACATGGTATGTCGTTCATGCATCTTTGCGGTCTTAATCTTCCCCGCGACCTCTAGAAACTTGGTTGGGGAATCAATCAACTGACTGCGGTGACATGGACGTGATTACTACATCGTTAATTACAAGTCATAATCTTATGAAGGAATGGTAAGTGAAACATCTATTTCCATTGCGCTGCGGCAGGAGGGCGGCAGAGGCGAAACTTATCGGCCCGGATCCGTGCTCCGTCACCGCATAAATCTTCATCGCCGATTGCCGTTTCGATCACACCTACACAGCGTGGTCGAAGCCCTCCATTGCGGATAAATCTCACACTAACCGCGTCGATAGCAGTGGATGCGTAGTTACGAATCTTCGCAAGGTTCATGGTGTCGCTCCACCATGACTTCGTCTGTTGCTGATCAGGCCTTGATAACTGTGCCGCTTTCAGTTCGGAGCTAGTTGCTCCGGATTGGGTTCATAATTACACGATTGAGTTTTAACCGACGAATCTCTTGTATTCGACAGCCGGTAGAAAGTACTCGTGGTTGTTGTTTTGAATGTGTGTTTGAACAAGCTTTGAAGAAGATTTCCGGTGTAGAATTGAACATTATGCGTGCAGAGAATGGTCACACGGCTGGTGCAGTTGAGCGTAGAGACGGTCCAAATTGCAGTCCTCATGGTCCAGAGCCATCGATTTCCGTGAAGGTGGGAACGATGCTAGTATTAGCGCTGCGTGATGTCCAGTCATTGAAGTTGAAGATTGAACTGCGAGGATTGGCCAAGTCTGTCACAATTCAAAATTTAGTTTGTGCGCCGTTCTTACTGGTGTTCATACTCACTGCGGTCGAAAGCGATCAACTCTGGCACACGAGGTCGCTTCAAACATTCCTGTGGGAGCGTCTGTGGTGTTGTAGCTTGTTCAAGGTTTTAGTTTACTTTGGAGGTATAGTCTTGGCTACGACCTTGTACTTTCTCTACCATCCTCGTCGCGTCTATATGCTGGACTTTGCATGCCACAAGCCGCATGAGAAAAACGCCATCAGCAAGCAAGGACTTCTGAATTATGCCGGTTCCAGTGGTTTGCTTAGTGACAAGAGTTTGGACTTCATGAGAAAGATACTAGAGCGATCGGGTCTGGGAGATTCAACCTACGTGCCGGCAGCGATCACGAGCACACCGGCTGACCGCTCAATGGTGGCAGCTCGAGAGGAAGCTGCGACCAACATGTTTTGCTCTCTCGACGAGCTATTTGCAAAAACTGGCGTGAATTCCAAAGACGTCAAGATTTTGGTAGTCAATAGCAGCGTGTTTTGTCCAACTCCATCCCTTTCTGCTATGGTCGTGAACCGGTATAAGATGCGCAGCGACATCAAGAGCATCAACGTCTCAGGCATGGGTTGCAGTGCAGGTCTGATAGCCATTGACCTGGCCAAGGATCTTCTCCACGGCTGCTACCGAAACTCTTACGCTATCGTTTGCAGCCAAGAGATTTTGTGTAGAAATTCCTACTGTGGGAACGACCGGGCGAAACTGGTGTCGAATTGCTTGTTTCGCATGGGGGGGGCTGCCGTGTTATTGTCGAACAGGAGCCGCGACCGGTGGCGAGCCAAGTACGAGCTCATGCACACCGTGCGAACCCACACTGGTCCTAATGACAAATGCTACCAATGTGTTGTTGAGGTCAGTTCATCAGTAACATACCTGATGAGGTTCGAAATCTGATAATTTTGTCCCCCCAAAAAAAACTGACTTAATTTCTGCTTTATTTCTATTTGTATTGGTCATGAGGTTAAACCTTCGATTAGCGGTGTATTGGTCGTTGGTCTCATTATTTCCGATTTTCTGGTTATTCTACCAAGCTTCGCCACTCATTATCTGGCTAAACCCCGATGAAGACCAGGTATGTACCTAGAGGAGGCTGTGGCTAAAATTGTTTTTTTAGCGTGCACAGGAAGAAGACGAAGAGGGCAGAATTGGAGTTACATTGTCAAAAGATCTTATGAGCGTTGCTGGAGAGGCTCTGAAAATCAATATTTCAACACTCGGACCGTTGGTGCTTCCATGGATGGAGCAGCTGCAATTCATCATCTCGATGGTAGGTCGCAAGGTCTTCAAGACGAATACTAAGCCCTACATTCCAGATTTCAAGACTGCCTTCGAGCACTTCTGTATCCATGCAGGGGGAAGAGCTGTTCTTGATGAAGTCGAGAAGAATTTGCACCTAACGGAGTGGCATATGGAGCCATCACGAATGACACTTTACAGGTAGCCAAATATCGATTCCCTTGGACGTCGTGGCTTAGTTGTGTGATATTTGTTTTTTTGTTTGTTTCACATTCTTTCATGGAAATTTTTCTAAACCAAAGCTGCCCTCAAGGATCATCAGTTGACGCCAGAAACTGGTTGTTCCATGAATATGGTAGGTTTGGTAATACTTCAAGCAGCTCGTTGTGGTACGAATTAGCCTACTGTGAGGCAAAAGGTCGCGTGAAGAAAGGCGACCGAATTTGGCAGATTGCATTCGGCTCAGGATTCAAATGCAACAGCGCTGTGTGGAGAGCTCTGCGAACCATTGCGCCGCCGGCTCTAAATCCTTGGGATGGTATCATTGATCAGTATCCTGTGAAGGGGGTCAGTGTGCCATGCGAATTGGTATTTCCACTTCAATCAGCCGCTTCCGCTGGAACTTCCGAGAGGCAGTCAGTTGGGAGAGACCTGAGTAATCCGTAGGCGCTGCTTCAACATCGAAATGATTGGTGTTGAAAATTCCTCTTTTCAAGTGTTTTTTACTACTTTATTTCTTTTTCTTTTGCAAAACCAATTAGGAGCTCTGCTTTCAGTGGTAAACCAAAACCTGTATTTTAGTTTCTAGCAGTCACATTTCATGGAGTGTGAACATGGCTTGATATGAAAAATGTTTTCATTAAAGGGCTTTAAGTGAAGAACAGTGATTTAAAATTAAGGTAGACACGTACTCAATAAGGATGGGCCATACATCCTTTCTTCGAAGTCAACAAGAAGGATGGGGTTCCAAAGTTCTTCCCTGCCCTTTCATTCTTGAGAAGAATGCACAATGCTAATGGTTGCTTGCGAGGGCATTATCGCTTTGGCTACTTGCTCTCATTAAAATTCTAACCAGAGCTCTACATTCAAACGATTTGGGAGGGTATGTTAAAGAACTAAGTACTCTGAACTATAGTAACGCCCTCATGAACTTGATCGAATGCTATGGAAAGAGCAAGATGTCCCACGTGGTAATGTGATGAAAACGTCATTCACTTCGCAGGAGATCATGTCTCAGAAGCTAGCCATGATAGCCCGTCGATAAAAGTTAGGCTTGAGAAGTTGGCAGCCTCTGCCTCCGTTAGGTTGTGCATCCAGTTCACTCGGTATGTTAAGCTTGCTCCAGGACCTGTATTTCCATATTCTCCGTAGTACTCATGCCTGCAGCGAGCGACATCCACTGCACAGTTACTTTGAGGCTGCGGTCAACCAAGTTCAATCAGTGTACTCTACGAAAATAGCCGTTCCATCGCCGAGTCCATAAGAAAACATTCATATCCATAATAAGAAAAATATTTCTTACCTAATCGTTGAGTTGTCCAGAAGGCGGCGTGAACTGAAATAGAACATGAAACGTTTTAGTTAAATAACCTTAGAACCTAAAGAACCTTAACAAGTCATGATGTGTCACACTCCAGATCCATTAAGTAAGCATCATTTAATTTCGACTAGTAAAGGTTGTAAGAGCAATTTTTGTTACGGTAATGGGGAGGTTGAATGAAACACAGAACTTTTTTTTCCTGACCTGGAATTGTACATAGTAACGGTGGTAGGCCAGTCGCTCCAACCCTGAGGATTGATAATGTTGTCCATGTAAGTGTCAATGAACAAAACACGAGAGTATAAGCCGTACGCCCGTCCAAGTAGATTATAACCGGTGCCCGTAATGGAGCCACCCACAAAAATAAATCCGGTGGTTTCATCGTCTGAAGCACGACCCTGTGCTGTGATGCACCCACTGCTATTATCTGCGGTAGATTTTACTTCGCAATACTGAAAAAAAACCAAAAAAGAAACCAATGCAAATTCGTTAACATTTTCTAAGTGACCTAATTGAATCATTGATTCTTGTTCACTGGTTCAGGATATTGGAGTTTCTCCTTTTCTTCAATCCATTCGATGCAGAGATATAGACGCGCAATCTTTTATGCTTTCAACATACAAGAATTGTAATTTGATTTGAAAGAACACGTGATTTCCCTATTCAATTTGACGTGCGTGATATGGGAATTTCAATTTGGCATGCAGAATTAAGTTCGTTGTTCGGACCTCGTATAGTGATTGTCCGTTACCCCAGATTATGTCAATATTCCCTTCAACATAGCAATCTCTGAAGTAATGACGACCTGCATCATCACAGATCGTGTCTTGTGAGCTTAGAAAACCGCACCCATAGAACGCCGCCATGTCCCCACCGATCAGCAGAGCAACAGCTTGAGCACCAGTTTCCCCTGCTACTGCATGTGGTGCCGAATTCTGCAGAGATATTAGGACTCACGTTCAAAGGATGATTTAGAACTTCATCATAAGTCTACACAACCTGACTCCTCAAGCTATCTTACCATGCAAAGCAATACACAAACGAATCCAATACACCTCATAGAAGTCTTAGCAAGATGGATTCTCCATGAATCACCGTCAACCGTTCATGAACATTCAACCTATTTCAAAACCATGAACATGGATATGAGGATTTGATGGCTGACATTGAGATCAACCTGGAAAGTAAGATTCCGTGCAGTGAAATTGTTTGCCCACACTGAGAAGGTGGCACTTCTGAAGGTGGAGTTGGTAGAGTTGGCTGTATCATTGTACGTGATAATCGTCGTTGTTCTCCCAGTGCCTTGGAGAGTAATGTACGGTTTGTTTGATGGGATCGACACTTTCTCCCTGCACAAACCACAAGCTCAGTCTTTTGAAACGCTAAAATTACAATCCAAGTACCTCATTGGTTTTCATGTCTCGAGTACATGAACTTGCAAATCTAGAAAAGAAAGCGATCTTACTGAACAGACAGACATTTGTTAGGCGCTACATCAGACTTCACTCCTGCCAAATTCAGATGTAGAGAATAAAATACTGGAATGCAAAGTTGTGAACAAATGGAGGAGCTTACGTGTAAGTGCCGGAGAGAATTTCAATCGTAACCAATCCTGTGTTGTTTTCTGTCAAGCATTGCAAAGTTCAAGGATTATCAGAAAACAATATCATTCCAGGTATTCAATCAGTGTTCCAGTTAAGGATCTCAATAATCATAGGATAGTGAGAGAAATAAAGAGGAGGTATCAAATCACCTGGAACTGCATCAATGGCAGCTTGCACGGACGTGTAGATCGTCAAAGGGCCAAACCCAAACGAATTTGACATGACAATGAGAGTGGTGCTAGTAGTTGGGGTCGTTGGCGGCGAAGACGAGGCGTATGGAGAGGTTGGGAAACCGATAGAAGTTGACGGAGTGGCTGTTGACGATGTATTTGAACCCGCTGGGTTGATCGGGAAGCTGAACGAAGGCGACATGACTGGAGGAGTTGTAAAGCTGGCTGAAGGTGGAATGTTTGTCGACGAATTCGTGGGATTTGTGGAATTCGATGATGGAGAGGTAGTTGTTGGCGCTGTAGGAAACCACCACTGACCATGACTTTGTTCCAGCAAGTTGCCGAAAATCACAAGTGCTGAAAGAGTAACGATGCTTCTGGAAACTGAAATGACCAAGTTCTCTGCCATTGCATTACCGAGGTCGAGTATTTCAGAATTAGCTGAAACAGCGGGCCTAATGAAATACGTCAGATGTAGGTTTCTGTCGACCAAACTCTCACCTTCAGAATAAGTGGCTTTTTGTCAACCCGAAACAGTAGCATGTCTACAGTGCTCTTTGTAAGATACTGAATAAGGACAAAGAATTCACAAGTAATCATTTCTGCAGGGTGTCCACAACGAAACAATGATATGGACGCAGCCAACAAGGACCTGCAGTTCCACTGTCAAAACGAACTCAGGAAGCAGGAGACCCAATTCTAAGGTGGTTCTGGAGCACATTCAATGAGCGTGTCAGTTGTTGAACATGACCCAAAGCCTACCTTAATCACTCGCTGCAGGTGGACAGAATCCATGATCTCCGCCATGTAATTTCTCACCCTCAGAATTTCGAAACGAAAAGCGTCACAGTGAAACTTCTGACGTAGAAAACAACGACTGGATACGAACGACAGGAATTCTCCAAACAGACCACTAACATGAAAGTCCTAGTATAACTGGAAACCCCGCCTTTTCATTCACACGCCAACAACGCTCCTGGAAAAGTCTAGAAGCTCCAAGTCTTGCACAAGCTTAACTCCTCTACATCTCATGACCCGCGTGCTCAAATCGATAACACCAAAAGAGACTTACAAGGGGTTAAACACTTCGTCGACATGGTCAGAGCTCCGGGGCCATCATGAGAATGCAGTCAACTTGGGTCTCACACGGACACACAAAAAGAGTGTGGACAGCAAAATAGAATACCTCAAGTCAAAACAATCGAGATAAAGGATTTTTCACACCTCGACGGACCCAAGCTCGCACCGATGTGACCACTGACAAAGTTTTGTTAGATCCAATCAATCCGAAACTCTTGACTGATCGATCTTACCATGATCTCATCACTGGAACTCATCCCATGCCAACACGGACCAGATCTAACCGCCGCAACTCAGTTGCCGGACACTCAGAACTGAGGCCTCTGATGTCGATCCTAGTCTAGAATGCGTCGCGATCTAGATATCGCGAAATTAGGGGTTCGGTTAGTTTGTCGGTGATGCGGCTTCTGCACCCATAAACGATGGTTCAGTGAAGGTTTTTGAATCAGTTAGTGTTCAGACAATTGCGACCATTCTTTGAAACTTTAAAGGTGATAAATAAAATAAAATAAATGTAAAAGCCACAATGTGCAAAAAACAGTGGTGATAATACAAACAAAGTGAAGGATAATCTTGCATGAGACCTAATTAGCAAACATTGTTTGTAATACTTTTGACATGGTTTTACTTGCGTTCAACTAGTATTATCTTACATTGCATGTATTCGTCTACATTTTTTTAGATTTTTTGTAAAATTTCTTAATTCACAATATTTTATTCGTTTTAGTCCTTTGTGGGAAGTATTTTTTTCTCTAAGAAGAATTATATATATATATATATATATATATATATATTTCTAGATTCATTTAATGTGATTATATTTACACTTTAATGTTTTCAGTTTTCATATTTTCATGATTGTCAAATTTTAATTCAGCACATCCCATATTTATGTCTTCTTATTTTTACATAAGCTTTCCGCTTATTGCAAACGAGCTTTTTACTTTAAAAGGAAAGATTTTACTTTAAAGGAATTGGCAAACGTTTGCTTTTGACTTTGGTAATTGTGGAGCATACTTTTTACTTTTTGTGTCCATGGCTGAATCACGACGAAGAAGCACAGCACAACAGGGGACGACGAGAAGATTCAATCCTCGCCACAGCGTGCGACAATACATTATGTGTTTTTTTGTTGCGGCTATCATAGTTTCGGGGCCTTCAAATTCATCGATATATTCGTCTCCAGCGATGGACCATGCAGTCGTCCTCTCCTCTGGGCGCCCGGAAGCTTGCGTGTCATGAACGTGACTCTTCCACCACTAACAGCTTCCGCAATCGACGTCCACCAACCATTTCACCTCATCTCATGAATCTATCATGAGCTGTGGTTTTTTTTTTTATTTTCATTTTTTACTTACTCATGTGGAGGTTCTAACTTGATCGACCAGCCTGTGTTCATGAGCAGCGTCAACCAAAATCGCGTATGAACACAGCGGTAGAATAGCTCCTAGTTCCGCCAGTCGTGGTAGAGTCGATCGTTTGAATGTAGTCGGGAAGCCTGCCAGTTCGGCCTTGCATCGATGGAGAGATTTCAGGAACTATCGACTAGGTGGAATAACTTCACTGTTTTTAAAATTCTGGATTAGCAGTCGGGACCCGCACAGCATGTGTTGCGGCGGAGCTGTGGTGTGGATGCAGTGGTCTAGATACTGTGACGTAAACACAGCAAGCAGTTCGAATGGCCGACCTTATTGTTCCCTGCAGCATTCTGGTCTTCAAAGATGTATAAATTTCGAGGACAATATTGCAGGGATGTGTTCGTTTCCCGCGTGCCGAAGGTTTCGCCGAAAGAATTATCCCTGCCTTTCGAGGCTGCACTCGCCGAGTTCTCCTTCCTTTCCTACGATTCCTGAAGCTACAAAATTGTAGACTGAACTATACCAAATGACCTATATCCTAACAAAACTAACTTTAGTTGCGTATCGCGTCCATATTCTGACGAGGCATCGACGTCGGCTTCGCGTCGCACAGTCGTTGGGTTCCCACTCGACGAAACAGAGCGCGACGCTCCGTTCTCATTACGGTCCGCTTGTTCCACTCGGAATCCGTCTGCTCACCGTTCTACTTGGAATCCAAGTTACCGCTGAAAGCCCAGTGTGAGGTGCTCAGTTTAGAATGGACGTTACATGTAACATGCAAAGTTTTACATTTCTAGATTCTCGAAATTGGCATATAATGTATTGACCAAATTATTATTATTAATATTATTATTATTATTCAAAGTATTTGATCCTTTTGCTCTACTAACACATTGACAAATTTGAATGAAAAGTGATACAAATAAAATCATTCAAAAATTATCGATTTTTTTATCATATTATTAATTAATTGCATCGTTTCTATTTCAATTATCCTTTTTAAGCATTGATTGATGCCTTTAATAATTTCACAACTTAGCTTACTTGAATCCTCTCTATAAAAATAATCGTAAAAAGAAAAAACTACGAACTTGTGGTCTCTTTTTTACTGCTCGAGTTAGAATGCAATTAAAAAGCCAATTGAAATATCCCTTCGTCCACTCTTCATTGAATTCAAGCGTTGGATAGAATTCCAAAAATTAAACTTTCCAGTGGCCTATTATAAATAGTCAGATTTTGAACGCTAAAATATTGCCTTGAAAATAAGAGCAAGCAATATTTCTGCGACGACAGAGTGACAGAGGGGTATCGGGAGAATCGAACTCCCGACCTCTTGCACCCTAAGCAAGAATCATACCACTAGACCAGATACCCAACTGGATGGTAAAATAGCTACCCATGACTTATCTATAGCAATCTCATTCACAGGCAGGGTCAAGTAAAGAATTAATTTAGTTCCGCATTGACGACTGCAGCTCAAAATTCAACCATACCTTGCACCCCACATGCACTGTCTTGAGCATGCACTGTGAATTAGGAAATTGCATCCATACAGTAGCATAAAAAGAAAATTTTCATTCCTCAGGCCAGCCTCAGTTCACAGGTGTCAATTACAGGTTAATCACTTGACTGGTATGGTAAGCCTAGTTTCAACTGGAATGTTCTTCATTCACACTGTCAACACCTGCATGGGCAAAGTCAGAACAGTCAATTTAGAGTTGTTTTTAATGGGGTTGGCATCCAGCATGCTTTAGCGAGAGCGTCTCCTTCAATAAGAAGGTAGCCAGACATCCTGGGAGCAAGACTCTACAAGAGAACAGAGCATCAAGGGTGCGAATATCTTCCAGTTTAAAATAATTGCGGATTTCGTACAGATGTCGAAGGCAATGGCATTCTCTTTTAATACTCAACAAGACGTGAGGACAATGTAAATCACTCATACAATATGTGACAACACAACCTTGTTCAAACTTACTCGTATTGTTTTAGCTAGATGAAAGGTTAATGGTAAAGAAAATGGCATAGATAACAAAAAAAACACTACATACTATCAATGATGAGGTATGCGATAGCCGTAGGGGCCTTGCAAATCCAAGCTTTGCTATATGAGGAACATACAGTTCTCTGCAACGCAGTTGCACCATCTTCAAATGGATAGATACGACAATCTCAAAAAAACTGCGAATTGCAGAAGTTCAAATGCAGGTTTGGATGAACTACCCAAGGCTCCAAAGCCTGACGTACTGAAATTATCTTTTGCAAAACTACAAACGATTGGTCACAGAAGCAAATGCGTTCCTTATTGTTGTAATATTCAGCAGACTGCCAGCTTTTGGGGGCACATGGTCCTGAACGTCACATACCTGCCAAGAGGAACAGTTCAATAACATCAAACCTACGCAGTAGAAGCAGCTAAGTTATGAAACAGTTGGAAAGTTCGGAAGTTCGTTAGAGTGCATGAACTCGTAACAGAACAATCCTGCCAATTTACATAACTGCTTTGGCGAAGTTTAGGGAGTTTCCTACTGCGGCAACAGAACAATGAATAACAGAGGTGATAGACTAGATAGAGACTGTAAGCCACGTGTTGATAGAAAGAAGAGGCCAAGCCTGGTACCAAAATCTTCCCAACTTAGCGTCAATAGACTTTCGGCAACAGCCTCCTGATTATAAGAAGGTTCCATCCTCTAGCCGTAGGTCAACCCATGTGCCTTCGTACCAGCATCAACCAGCGGCGGGACAACATTTTTGCATTGCTGCTGCATCTGGTCGATGAACTCCATAGCGCTGCAGTTACTTGAGATGCTGTACACCTCTAACTGTTTAAGGAACAACCCTGGCTTAGTTCTGCGAGGACGTACATGTGAAATAATTATTAAGACCTGAAAATGGATGGATGTTGTCAGTGTCTATTTTCAGCTTCGGAGTAAGTTGCAATAACATCTCAAACCACAACTGTCCGAAGATGGTCTACATTCTGTTTAATAAAACGACCTTCGGCACTAAAAGTCGAGGCACTTGATGCTAAAGAATATATTACATCAATGGAGGTCCCGTTCAAAGTAAGAATATTATGCTCCCCAGACGTCATACTCCTGCCAGGTAACCTCACCCTGACCTGAGTGTGAAGCAGGAATAGTACCAATTTAAAATCTATATTGTACACGATCGCGATTCATTATTAGATTGCCATCAAGTAAAGCGCATTCACTAAAAGATGTTCGAGGAGAAGGTAAAAATCTTGCCTCGCCCCTCTTTCAACAATGTATGATTCCTTCATGCCTCAAACTATACATTACCGCAGATATTCTCCCTCTCTTTCTCTCTCGCTCGGAGTGCGATCACACGAAACCTCCCACTGCGAAATGACATACGAAACAGCCTTCTCGGGCTCGAACGCCCGCTGTAGCCAAAACTGTAACAACCCTAGACTGCACCAATTCATCAAACGCTTCCACAACAAGCGGATTGGCCGATCCCGCGGCAGGAGGCGCAGGATCTCTCACTCGCAAGCCCAACGAGCGAGGAGGAATCGCCCTGATCGGCCGACCTGGAAGTGACTCTGTATCCCAAATCCTCGAAGTGTCCGAATCGGCAGGCTCACACCACCCCCGAATCCTCGACATGCAAAAATCCTCCGTCCTTACAAAAAAAATGTGAAAGCGGTGGCGTCGAACTCCGCAGAGGGTATGTGAAGAAATGTGGAGAAGATTGCAGGCGGAGTGTGCTCGGGGGTTGGCCATGGATCCAGAGCAACGATCATCCCTCCCCTCCCCTCCAGCCCCGAAACCTTCCCTAGCTCCAAAAACTGCCACCGTCTTCGTTGCTTCCAACTTCCGTCAACTTCGTTGCTTTCAAAACTTTCGTCGACTTCGTTGCTTCCAAAACTTTAGTCGTCTATGCTCCTTTATCGTCCAGGTGGAACAAGATATCTTCGTGCTCATGGATGAATCTTCCTCTCGATCCTCATGCAAGCAAATCACAACAATAGATAATTACATTTTCAAAATTAAAAGAAAATCCATAATAGAACTAAGTTATTTAGATACTTGTACACATATGAATTTAATAAATGCTGTTGTAAAAATTCGTTTATAATTTGTAGAACATGGTATTGATTTACTATATACATAATATATATATATATATATATATATATATATGGGAAGTTGTTAAAGTCACATCCCAATTTTGTTAAAGTCACATCATCTTTTATCATCTCATAATTAGTTCCATCCATTCCTTGTCCCCATTCTTTGTTCCATGTTCATCACCTCCTCCTTCCATTCCAGTTCCCTTGTTCCCAATCTCCAATTCCTCATCCCTTGTTCCCACTACCCTCCATCCATGTTTCCTTATTCTTAGCCCTCCTCCCTAAATTCCTTGTTTTGGGACTAGAACATTATGTTTTACAATATAATATATATTAATACTATTTTAATTCTATTCTATGATATTATTAGTGTAATATTTAATATTTAAAAAATTATAAATTCACAAATTTTATTTCAAAGAATTTTTGTATGTAAAGTCACATCTTTATTTTCATATTCACTTTATAATCATTTTATTTTAATTTATAAAAAATCTATGTTCTTTCACTTCTCAATGTTCCATTATTTAAATTAAATGTCACTATTTCAAAAATTTATTTATTTATTTATTTAAAAATATAATAGATAATTATGTAATAGTATTTCTATAAATAATAAAAGATAATTAAAAAAAGAGCTGAAAATGTATATTTTGATCCCCTTAATCTTGGAACTAGAGATTAAGAGAGAGGGGGATAGGAGGGTTGAAAATGAAAGACAAGAGATGGAGGATTGGAAACAAAGGCACAAAGGTAGGGAAGGGGCTAAGAACATGGGACTTGGAACATAAAACAAGGCACATATACATATACCCACATTACAGTATTTATATCTTTTTTTGTGATTCAAACTTGTTTCAATAAACAAAATGTAATAACTTTTAGATTGAATTATCTCTATATTCTAGTTGATTACCTTAGAAGCATGCAAAGATTCTTACAAGATGCAACGTGTTATTTCCAACAGATCCTGAAGTGATGTGAACCTTTGTATGAATGCCACACAAAACATAATTGAAAAAGTAAGGAATTCTCAAGCAAATGTCAAAACATAATTAACATGTTTGACACAATGTGTGAGTCCCACATAGGCTCCAATATATTTTCACTTATTATTCTTACCTCAATAGGATGAACTAGGGACTATTGAGATTGAAGCCCACATGCTCACGGTGGTAGCATAGTTGTTATTTAGAAACAATGTAGATTTCCAAAGTCGATGATTTTAAAGAGTGAAATGACTTCTTAAAATCAACCCAAGAGTTACAGAACTCTCTGCAACGAAGTACCCTAAGGTAGGTTGCACACATGATCATGAAGGGATGGAATTCGTCACATGTAGAATACAATCAAGTCGCATAGTATCTATTCACATCAACTTGATTGTTGCACGGAGAGGAATTGCACTAGAGGCATTCGTTGTGTGTTGTGGGCTGTGGGAATCGAAGCTCTGCGTCACCAGTGAGTCGAAGAAAGCATCAAAATGCATCAGAATCCACGAGGCGAGGTTCGAGCTGGGGCATTGAAAAGCCCAAAAGCAAAATCCGACCTCGGAGGTGTACAAACCGACAAAAGATAATTCTCCTGGTTAATCCAGTGTCACTAACGAGAGAACACCGCGATATTGAAATCCTAGCAACAGCCAAATAATCATTTTAGGAGTTAAAGCACCTTTACAAAGGAAAACTGTAGAACGTCTCGTCTTTGTATGCATCATCATGTCGTGCCATGCTAGTGTTCGTTGACGATATTGGGAGGGGAATGAAGTGAGCGAGTTTCCATATCCTGTCATTTGCAAAACATGTGATCTCCCGTTACGTCACGATGCCTTATATAAGGACATACTATATAGGGTCATTTCTATTTCATATGGTTCCGTTTCAAAGCTTACAGTGAGCGGAGAATGGTTACAACAATGTGCAGAACCTGGTGATCGGGGGCTAGAGGATAGAAAGAATCATGCACTAAGATAACTCACCTGAGACGAAACCATGCCATATACCGGTTCATCTTGGACGATGAGCACTAAGCATGTACAGGCTGGTTGGCCATGAAAGTAAAAGGACAAATTAATGTGATCTGCAGAACACGTTTCCATTACGGAATCTCTTCGGAATCTTCCCTTTCGCCCATCTTTCACCAACAGATGAAGCTATCATTGCACAAGCAATATCAGCAACACAATACAATCCTCTCGGGGTACAAATGCAGTTCCTTGAGTAGCCACGCAGGTAAGAAAATCTGATATCTCAAGCGCTGGTATGATAAGAACGCTGCACGCCAAATCATTCATTTGGACAATCAAGTTCACCACCGACGTTCCAAGTGTTCTGCCACAGTTCGCCTTTTTTTAATCGATTGAGACAAGTGTGACAAGCAGTGATTCGTGGAATAGGGGTCTCCTAACACTCCCCTGAAAGGATGCACAGCTGCAGGCTTGAATTCACATATTACATACAGCAGCCATGCATGCAGATGTGAGGAGCTCAAATAGATGATCCTGCAACCATCAAGAATCGTGGACTCGCATCTGAAAAAAGCCTATACCTAAATGAGGTAACCTAAAAACTGATTTACCGACTTCATAATACAGCATCTCAGCTAAATTGAAAGTATTGGGGAACTGAAAGGGGGTCTCATCCTACTCAGGATTTACCGAATATGTGTTCGCCCAAGAGACCAAACCCCAGTATCACGGACCGCACTTTGCGATTTCGGAGAGGGAAAGACGTTCCAGAACCGTAACGTTTCATCACCAGCTCCAGTCACGATCGTTTGTCCATCAGGAGAAATGGCGAGGTACAAAACCCGCATTGTGTGTCCAGTCAATGTGGCAAGCTTAGACATTGTTGGATACCTCCAGACTATGATCTGATTTTGGGAATACCCATGCGTACTCACAAGCTCGTTCACATTCTTCGACCACACCAAATTGCACACTTGGCTCCCAGTATCGTAACAATTCAAAGCAGTGCTCGTGGCAGTATTCCAGAATCGAATGCATCGGTCAGCCGTTCCGCCTCCAGATGCTAACAAACCATGTTGATGAGGTGACCACGCCATGGCCTTCACAGCGGCACCGTGCTCGCTAAATTTCACTACAGGTTGTGTAGATTGTTGGTTCCAGACTAAAAGCTGGTTGTCGTTTCCACCAGATGCGAGCTCGCGATCATCGTAAGACCATTTCAATCCGCACACCTCGGACTTGTGCCCGATAAGTTTGCTTACAAAGTCTTCTGGAACCCTGACATCCCGCTGGAGAATATTTCGGTCTCGACTGCCGGATGACAAAAGGTGTGAGCTCCAGGCTAATGTCCCGACTCGTGTCCGATGGCCACCCATCGTACGAACTTTCCTGCATTTTGTGGCATCCCATAGCTGTACTTCTCCAAGGTTGGTTCCGACGGCCAGGTATGTGGCCCTTTGAGTCCACCCTACGGAGCAGACGCTATCCGTAGGCCCTAAATCGCAGAGCTTCGTAACTTTGCTGGTGCACGCACTCCATAAGTATACACAGGTGCCCAACCCAACCGCAAGCACATTCTGCGACGACCAATCCACCAAATTCAGGTAAAAATCATCCTGCAACGCCGGAGCATCCAGCACCTTGTAAGGAGACCTCGCAATTTTTCTAGGAGCCTTCCGGGGCGACATGGTTGCAGCCACAAGCGCGCTGTCAATTCCTACTGGAGAAAGATCGAAAAGGTTCTCTGGCCGTGCGTTTGGACCAGTGCTCGGCTTGGGCTCACTCTTGAATCTGAACAGATTCCGACTAACACTGGAACTGATCGGCGACCGCATTGGGTCTCTCAAACTAATACCCATCGACTTCTCCGGCGTTGCTGGTGAAGCAGCCTCTTGCCCAAAAAGCTCTGACCGCAACAGCATTGAGTAGGCTGCACCACCATCCTCTCTGACATCATTTAATTGAGCGATGTTGAGCCCTGATGGCGATCGATCCAAAAGAGCAAACCCCGTCAAATTTGAGCTTGAGCGGCTAGGAATAAACCGGTCGCTGTATGAAGTTCTGGTGGGCGATGAGGTCGCGGCTGAACTTATCCCCTGCTTCATAGGGGAAGCTGACCCTTGCCATGATCGTCTAGCAATAGTATCAAGGTGCAAAGCGTCTCGCGACATGCCAACTGGCAGGTTGAGCGACCGTGCAACTGAACTACTCCTACTCTGGTGCCCATCCTCACTATCTGCTGCCCCTTCCATGGGGCGGTTCATTTTCTCAGCTTCGTTGCAACCGACGTAATGCTCCCTAGGACTGGCTGGTAAGCGGCCTATTCACGGAGCAAGATCGCGAGGGCGCTAATGCCATGTGCAAACGTACGAGTTGCGTGATTGAGCACGGTCACCCTTGCGCTCACCAGGGCTGGTACGAAAATCAAAGACAGTCTGTCATCTCACCAGTTTCATGTGCCTACATTGTAATAATGCGCAGGGTGCGTCAAAATCGTAACAGCAGTTTTATCGGAGACGCCGCCTCCCATTCAAATTCTACCTAGCTATTCATCCGAGTGCCAATAGTAGTGCTCCTAATTCTGAAGAATCTTGGGCTGAGGCAGCACAACCCAACATTAAACGACATCTCCAATGGAAACTCGAATTGGGGGAGCTTCCATACAACTCTGTTTCAAGCTCGTCAGCAAGGAATTCGCTTCCGCCCCACCACAACACCAACCACAAGCCTGCGCTACACCGCCACCTCTCCAGAACTCTACTATTGCAGCCTTTATGTCAACCAAATAATCGAAGCGGCCAAGGAAGGTGCGATGACGAGACCCTCCGCGCCTCCGGAGGCACTAAACGCTTTCTTCCAACACGCACCATCCACGAACGACTCCTAAATGATTAACAAACCGTCGACACTTCCCATACGCACCTCCTTCATGCTTCCCATCATTCCACCATGGCAGCGGCCCCAGCACACAATCGCCACTCACAACACCAGCACCTCGTCAACTCCGCAAGAGACGTTGATCGTCACCCAAAACTTCCAATAACCCATGTATGTTCCCTTCTCTCTCTCTCTCTCTCTCTCTCTCTCTCCCTCCTTAATCCAGCCCTACAACTCGCGCCCAACGCGAACTCGCACCCAGAACCGAACCTGCAACCGACAGAACACAACCCCAAAGGCACGCCTGACAGAGTCCTACACCATCCCCAAGATCCTTTTCCTCTTGTGCAGGGCAACTACCTCCGAAACAAACAACCAATTCCTATTCGCTTCAACGTTCACGCCAGAGAAACCTACACAACTCAGCGGACGCTTCCCCATACATCAAGAGGAAAAAACCAGACCGATAATACGGACAGCGACAGAAGTTAAGGGAAGATAGAATGGGGCGAGCTCTCATGGCAGTGAGATGAGGAAACGACCAACGCAAGGAAAGGGAGAGGCCTCGCCTCACGCATTGCTACAACAAGCTCGAGGGGGACGATGGTTTTGTGCAACGGCTCTCCCCGAGTGACGGCTAAGGGGAAAGAACGACGACCGGGTGAGGCCGGTTAAAAGCCCCGCTTAACCTCTTAATCGCCGGTTACGAGATGCTTAAGCAAGTTGTTAAGTTCTCCCGCGAAGCACCGTGGCGGGAGCCCAACCAGTTAGGGTTTGGCGGGAGCTTCCCTCGTAGGCCGTCCGCTAGTCCACGTAGACTCCCGCTATAGAGACGACCCAACAGGCTGGAACTTCGTTGCGAAGCTGGACGATAGAGGATGACATTCGTTCATAGATGAAGGTCGTTGTACGTCGTTTGCCCGTGGTAATCAGGCACGAGAATGGATGAATTTTAAACGGATGAAATACCGACGGAATTCAAATATTTTGGAGGTGCTGCATTAATGAGGGATTCAGTTCGGTCACCAGTGGCTCCCAGCACCGGTATGCGAACCCCTAGACTGGTAAAATAAGCGAACTCCATGGCCGTGCTCTTGAGGTTGTGTTACCGTGGCCCTTTCAGAACGCCCGGGTCGCTCCCGTTCTTATACAGGCCTTTCGGAGCATCCCCACTCTTTGGACGGTAAACGAGCACGAGCGAGTATACAACCCAAATGTTTAGTATGAGCGTATGTGTGTGAGCGAATCCCATCTCCACTTGGGGCATTTTTATATTAATTTCATAATAAACAATAATAACAGATGTATTGTCTCCATGGTCATTTAATTTTTTAATGTGATTTAAAGGAAATTAGGAATTTTTTGGTTTAAAATGATTAACAAAGATTTGTTGTTATCTGGTCATTAAATAAAATTATATATGTAATAAGTTATATATATATATATATATATATATATATATAACTTATTGGAATAAATTTGATAAATCATATGGAAAAAAATGCATAGTTTGAAAATGTATGACAAGAGAGCAAAAACAATGTATAAAAGCATTCTAGAGGATTCAGTTCATTCATTATTCTGAAGGTGACTTCATACAAACCAAACATCAATCTTTGTATCAAGATAGTAAATCTTTTTCAGAGTGATTGTTTCAAGTTACAAACTTTTATGGAAGTAAGTACATTAAATTTGATTTAAAAAAATATAAATAATACTATTTTAGGATTTCTGATGGTTTTTTTTTGTATTTTCCTCAACCTTCCTTTAATCAAAAGTTAAGGATTGCATAGAGTTTTAAAAAATAAAAATACAGAATCCTTTAAGTGTTGAATAATTAGATAAGTGTAGTTATATTATCTTTACATTTTACTAATAATTAAATATAAAGGAAGAATGTAAATGTAATGAAAGCACATGTTACATACACATAATACTTTACAAAGTTGATTGGCTACAAAGAAATAGAATGTGTAATTATGTTATATATATTTGTTTTAAGGAAATCAATTTAATGTATTCAATGCAAAGTAGAAAAAATTAGTATAAAAAAATAAAAAAAAAACTAGTAAATTTTTATTTTAATTATTGATAGAAAATATCAAAATAAAAAACCTAAATTTTATGTTAAATATTCGTTTTTAAGAAGAATAACATCCAAAACTAAATTAAATTGTGCTAGTTACAAATCCGAACCTGAATGTAAGGAATATTACAACCTTGAGTTGTAGAAAATTTTAAATAAAAAAACATTAACACATTTTATAATATTGTAAACCAAAGACATTCTATATCATTAAACAATTATATCTAAAAGAGAAGATATTTTTTAAAACTATAAAGTTTACTTAGAGTCTAAATACATAATATATATAGTTGTAGATTTAGGTTATTATTGTTTTTAAAATCTAAAAATAGTAAACTTAAAGTTATATTCTAATATTATTAATATCAAAGAAAATAATATTAATATATATATATATATATATGTATGTATATATATTGAATAATTTTAAATTTGATCTTTAGTGAATTAAACAAGAAATAAAAACAAAAAAAAAATTGTAAAAAATGTATGTTTTTATAAAATAATAAAAAAAATCTTTATGTATGTATGTGTGTGTGTATATATAGATATAATGTTGCTAATGTTACCATAATTTTTGTTATTGCCACCATAACTTGTCACCTATTCAATATGTTTATTTAGTTTCTTTCATTTATTTTCTTTTTTAATTTCAATCATTTTTTTGTTAGCAATTTCAATATTATTTCTCAATGCTAGTAAAAAAATAAAAAAATAAAAAAATAAATACTTATTCTTGTTAATAATATTGACAAGGAGTGTAAGTGGTATGTGGTGAATGGCTAGTAGCAATATAGTGTGGTAGCAATAACAAAAATTGTGGTGGTATTTCCCACATCCAAAATATAAATGTTAGGATTGTAGAAGAATTTAAAAATACATCCATGACATTGTGTTATTATATTTGGATTTTTTTTTTACATATTTTCAAATAAAATATATAAAATAAATACATATCATAAAAATAAAAATAAATTAATATACTGTGTGATTAAAAGGTTTTGGTTTTGAAACAATCCACACAATAACATTATTACAAAATACAAAGTTATCTCCATTGGTATTGTTACAACTACAACAAATGTTGTATTCACAAAGGTTCAAGTTAATATGCAAATATAGATCTACCATGCCAACTATGTACAAAAATAAATAAATAAATAAAATAAAATAAAATAAGAAAGAAAGAAAGAAAGAAAGAAAGCAAGGAAGGAGAGATGCTAATTTTTTCAAACCAATAGCAGTGACAAAAATTGAATTGTGCCCCACCAATGTAAAGAAATTATGCTACTTAAGAACCAAGTTGTATCTAACAACATGCTATTAGGGTTTTGATTATGCTTATGACTATCATTTAGAAAATTCCTTCTTGCATTGTCCAAGTTTGTTTGTTTGGTTTGGTGGGTTTTATATGATATGGTTTGTGGTTGAACAAGTCACTAAAACCTGAACCTTCCATTAAAAAAATGTCACCCAAAATGAGGATTCAGTCAAATCCCATTTGACATGCTTGTGGTGACAAGCTTTCAACTCTACAGATTCACTCATACCCCCTCAAAATGCAGTAAAAAAATTACCTATGGAAGAACAAAATTGGAGGTAATATTTCTCTTTGAATTTATCTTTTTAAACAATTGCCTACTTGAGGTGGATTAAAGATGAAGTCAACTCGAGTCTTTACTAGATTGCAAGTTTAATGGTGTGTTTCAATTTATGTGTATGTATAAAAACTTTGGAGCCATGAAAAAACAATTGAATATTGATGCAATATTTTTTAAAATATATTAAAAGTGTAGAGTTATAACGACTTGGCAAAAAAAAGAAGATTGGATGTTCATCTCTACAGAAGGTTCTTTAGGATTTCAGTTTTCGACTTCGTTGATCAATCAATTCATTTTGTTGGTTAATAATCTCAAGAATGTGTTTGACATGACAACAAAAAAGTTGGTTACAAATACACGTTCTAAAATAATTATTAAATATCATAACCATGTACCAATTCAATCAAAACGCATACACTGAACAATTGTTTTTAAAACCTTTATGACTTATAAACGCATGGAAAAACACACATTCTGTTCTCCATAAATCAACTTGGCAATTACGGTGATTTTCGAGGTCTTGTTTAATGTTTCATTCTCTCCCACTTTTCCAAAAGTCTATTTACATAGTTTTCAAAAAATAATAAAAAAAGAGATTCATTCAAGCTTTATATATAACCCATCTGCCCCCTGTCCCCACATTTTTTAACTATAAAAAGCCATGGTTTTAAATATCTCCCATAGATATTCTACTCCAGAGGGGAGGAGAGAGAATGAGAACTTTGGGAACCCAGTTCCCCAACTTGCTCTCTCGACAGAGGTTATCATTCCCCTCATAAATAACAGTCCGATGTTTATAAATAAATCCTGCTCTCAGATAAAGTCCAAACCCTTTTTTTAAATTAAAAATTATAAAAAATATTCATTCAAATTTTCCTGCCAGGCTGCCCTGCCCTCACACAGAATTCAAATAATATGGACGTTGGTCACCCACTCCCCCCGAGGGGCCTGCCCGCGCAAAATACGTCTCGTTCATCCCGCCCGCCTGACAAGTGTGAACAGGGGTCTAACTTCCCGCGACCTGAACGACCGGTATCTTGAGAATATTCCACCCGTTCCAGGTCACCATCGCCCTTCTTCTTCTTCTACTTCGTCTTCTTCTTCCTTTCCCCTTCCAGTTAGTCCCGCTACAGAAAAGGACGAGACGAAAGGGAGGTGACCGGGAGTGGCAGGTTACGCAAAAGGCAGGGAATAGAATCTCCCTTCGGCCTGGTCTCATACATCACGATTTACTCTTTCTTTTTGGGGGCTAGTTAGCGAATCTGTTTATAAAAAGTAATTTTTTGAAAACAAAATAATAACAGTAAAACAGAAGAAGAAGAAGAATACTTTTGAAGTGGGAAGTAATGTGGGTTTACCAAAGAAGAAGAAGCCTTCGGTTAGATAGATATGGTGTTGAAGTGGGTTGCACTGAGTCCTTTACCCCATTATTGAATAGGCTACGTTAAGGACTGACAGAAAGAGAAAGCATTCTATAAATGTATATAGTTATATATACATACAAACAGGGTGTGAGACTTAGTCTTGCATTTCCATTTTGTGTGTTTCCAGAAGTGGTGATGAACCCAAGATGAGGAGGAGGAGGAGGAGGAGGAGGGTGAACTTGCTTGCTTGCTGTTTATTATTATTCTAGCTTTGGACCGGCTCGCTTGGGTTCATTCCCCCACAGGCTGTGAGATCAGCATTATAATAATAATTAAAAGCCAAATGATGAATATGCAGCGACATGACATGCTCTCATCACTGAAGAACGCGAGCAACTCGGGTAGTTCGTAGTTTGTGTACAAACACATGGTTGATGAAAAGTGGGGAAGGGAAAGAAAAAACAGAGAAATCTAAAGAGATGGGTGCTGCTGAGGCATTGACAAAGGTTCGCTGCACAGGATTCAAGAGTGGAGGAGGACGGGGGAGGACCAAAGGTTTTTATCGTCGTCACTGCAGCCAGAGGATGGATGCCGCAGAGGATTGAGCTTGCAGGGCAGGCTCCAGCCAGAGGGGAGCTCTCAAAATCACGTGGTGGTGCAGCAGAAAAAGCAGCAGAAGCGGCAGCGGTCGCAGCAGCAGCAGCAGCAGGAGCAGCAGCAGCGATGCACGCTCATGAAGTTTCCCACCAAAGACGGTATCTCTAGCTACTCTACTGCTGCCGCACATATAAGTGCCGTCTTCGTTGGTTTGATGAATGAATGATATGCAGGATGTGTGATCTTCGCACCCTCCAAACTGAACCTCTCCTACCCCCCCCCCCAAAAATAAAAATAAATATATATATATATATATATATATAAGAAAAGAAAAGAAAAGAAGGCAACAGATGAGCCTCAGAGGATCGTTGCATTGTTCATTCAGGTGGTCAACGAGATCATTCAAGTACCTGGAGCAGCTGAAGATGAGGGGTACTGTGAAAGAGAATGTGGGAACAGTAGCGATGAGGGCTTGGGTTGCCTCATGTTCTAAGCCGAAGCCCCGCCCATGACTTGTTCAGAACAGATTATCCTGCTTGGATACTTCGAAATTGTCTCACAATTTGCTTTTGATCATCACCTCATGCGTACATGTTTCGAGTTTTCTGGTCATATTGAGGACATCGATTGACTCAGAGCAGAAGAACAAATACCAGTCACAAAAAAAATTTAAAAAGGAAAGAAAAAGTGACCATACATAGCCAGAGAGAACGAGCCTTTCCGCAGGGAAAGCTAGGAAAGGAAGACCTGAGAGTGCACACATGAAAGCGTAAAAAACACAAAGCTTAAACAGGAGTCAGAAAGAAAGCAGAGAATCACGTCATAGAATGAAAGGGAGTACAAGAAGGTTTGTGTACCATAACGTGCATGCAACACAAAATAAAATTACAACGTGGGGAATTGGCCATACCTCGAACTGAAATTGTGGCATTCCGATGCAGGAGTTTGTGCAATCTATGTAGGTACATCACTTTTTATTCAAAATTTTCTCATTCATCTGTCATAGAATAATTGACACAGAAGCCAATTTATCACAGATTAACTTCAGAGGTAAGAATGCAAATTGCTTGTAGGCCCAACCGCCATTGTAACCTCCGGATCATGCAAGCAGTTAGTGAATCCCAGTTGACGGAAAGAAGATTGCGACTTTAAGTGTCTCAGTCTGCTGTGGCGAAGAGGTTATGGAAATGGAGTGCTTGGCTTCTGAATTACAATTGCATTAACTATGCATTGTAAAGCTTAGCTTGGCGTATTGTTCATTATGAAATGGGAAAGAAACCCGAGGACTCCGGCGATCAACTTTTTGTCCTGCCAATTCATTACGGGCCTGATCACATGCGCTATTTTGCTTTTCTCTCGGATTGAACTGCGAAACTGGGCTACAGTCGGCGCGTTCTTTTTCACTGTACAGAGAATGCAGCCACCTTACGATAGGTAAACATCAATGAAGAAATGGACAGAAGACAATCACTGATGGTGGAGGAAAATCAAAGAACACGCACGAATTGGAGATTTCTTTCTTGTGAAAACGAATTAGTGTGTCGACTAGACACAGCCACTGATGGTGGCTACACCATCGAAAATGAACACTCCCTTGCACGGGGCATAATAGACATCTATCAGAAGCAGACTTGTGCTACAACAAGTTAAATCCTGTGAGACCCGTAATGGATTATGCTGTACCAACACGAGAAGCCGTCGTCCTTCCTGAGGCGGGGGCGAAGTCGCACCCAAATGTGCTTCGGAGGCCGAAGCTTGTGTGCTTGCAGCTTTCTTGGAGCGGAGACTTGATGAATGCCGGGTGTGACGTGTGAATCTCGAGGCAGACGAGTAGCAGTAGCGGTGGAGGTTGTTCAAAAGGAGCATACCAATGGTCGGAATTGCAATCCTTGCGCAAGTTGTGACGTGAGTTGGGTAAGTGATCTTCAGGGCAAATACCATCTGGCAACGCGTAACCCTGTCAGGAAAGACGACAGAGCGAGGAAAAGGAATGCACCAAAACCCATAGCGATCGACACCCGTGCTTGAGTACAATAAGCCCCTGCATCCGAACAGTAGTATTGTCCCTGAATTAGGGTGGAGCCTGATTGGAGAAGCTGCGCCATGGCGATACCAACGGAGTTTGCCGAGAAAAGAAGACACGCGAAGCCTTGATCGTGGCCGTAGTCGAACCAAACTTGGAAAGTCTCGGGCAAGAGGAGTGTACCCCGCGAGAGAGTGTACACGGCCAGCCATGTCTCCACGAAAGAGTACACACAGATGATGGCGTTCACGGCGAAGACATACCTGCAATTTGAAGAGCAATGCAGATTCGCCGTGGCGTCAGAAACAATAAACACAATCATGCCATTGGGACGAATCGAAAAAGGGATGGAATGAGAGCGAGGGCTTACCGAAAGGGATCAAAGTCATGCCACGCAACCTCCAGATACTGCGGTGCACTTCGAATTTTCTGCTTGTTGGTACCCATCACAAGGACGGCTGCTAGCGAAAAGGAAAATGTGAGAAGTCGAAAGACGAAAAGCATGGTGTTCGAGCGCCGCTGCTTCATTGCTGCGGTTTTCCCATATAAATGCACGTCTGGGGTAGAATTCAAGGGGCCAGAGTCGTTCGCAACAGAGCCGGATTCCATCGTTTTGGAAGCTTTCCAGCGAGTGCCGAGCCAAAAAATGGTATGTCTACTCCCTGTCTCTGTCCTCAGGTCTGCCAACTCACAGCTGTGAGAATAACCATTATCAGCGGCGAAGGACACTATCAAGATACAACTGGACCTGCTATCTTATCTGGAGACACCGAAGGAATTCTTCTCCCGCACGTGATCAATAGAAAAGTGCGACAAATCTCTCAAGCTATTCAGTCATGAAAATGTACAGCAACCTTGAAAAACTGTAACGACTGTGCATTCTGACACCAGCGCACCAAAACGAATTCTCCGAGTTAAGTGACAGAAATCAGTGTGCACACAAAAGAGATCTCTGCAAGCTAACTTGAGGTATTTAGGGGATGCCACTCGATTTCGAGACCAGCGCACCTGGATTAATTCACTTGGTTGAGTGACAGGAACCAACGTACAAACACTAGACACCTCTGCAAGTTCGATGGAGATTTGAAGAGAGATGCTGCTTGAATCAGGTCCACAAGTCGAGGGCGGAGCATCACAGAGGCATTCTTATAGACAAAAGAACGGAGAGTATTGGCCCAAAAGTGCGTCTCTCCCGGACATCGGCGGTGGCTAGCGAATAAAGTGGCGCAGAGCCGAATTTGCTGAAGGCTGGCTGTGCGTGCGGAGAGTGGGAGGCCCCGCTCGCAGTTATGAACCTCAACAACTACCCGGCGAAGCTGTGACTCTGTGCCTATGGATTGATTCCTCCCATCCTGCGAACTGCCTATGCACTGAACTCCATGAAATTCGATTCAATCAGCAATCTATCGACACTCGGGTGCAGCCCCACATCAAAGAAAAGGCCCTGAGAACATTCTTCATGCAATCATCAATCTGCATCCGACACTGTACCAACTCAGCAGCAGCCAGTGTTTTATCCTTTGGAATTATAAACCCATCCAAAATTGGGTAAAGATACCACCACAACGCAGTACTTTGAATCGCACCGATCATTCATTGAATTGGGGAGGGGGACAAACTCCAGTTCTGGGAAGCCATTCCTGTCCTCCAATTTCTGATTTCCCTTCTGCTGTTTCAATCCCAGTCGTCGACCGGTTGCACCCACATTGATGCTCGGCTTTCTGTGGAAGGTTTAAACTGAGCAAGCTCGGATAATAATCGGATTGCGTTACAAACTACCCCTTCGGCACGGTGCACCTACGCTTTTTGAAGCAGGCACAATGTCGCGTAGAAACCGCTGTTCATTGATGGAGCATGGGCAATATGTCAATGGTCAGCTTTATCATTCAAAAGAAAGACTCCTAAAACTAACTTCATGATGCCACAAGGAATTGCGATTTTTAGCAAGAGAGGAGCAAGTCGCCTCCTCTGGATTAGCAAACGCACTGGCCTTGCAAAAGTACACCCTAAATTTCGGAAGTCGAAGCGAAAAGCTTTAGTGGGAAGGAGCTTTTAGGTGAAGAAACTGCCAATTCAAGCATAAAAGTCACCCGGAGAGCGGCTGATATTGGGCTTCCTGCGTATTTTGTCCACCCCAAAAGCACGCTGCTCTCACTTGTCACAACGACATGATTGTGCTGGCAACCCAATTCCGCAATTCATTGAGGCTCATTAGCAAACCTTGGTGAAAACGAATTCCACCACCTTGGCTGCGAATTCGGCTCACGATTTACGACGCGAAATTCTTTTCGGCGTTGTAAGCCCGCTTTTTTCTTCTCGAGCTTCACAGAGTTCGACCAACGATTCCGGACGTGCTGTTCGTGTGAGTTCCCAGTATTCCCAACGAATTGTTGTTTCAAGATGTCTGCGGTGAAAAGTGATCGTGTATATTCGGAGCTTCCAGTCGACGATGCGAAGCAGCTCGTCCGTAAGGATGGCCCGTCAGAGCCCCTCTGACGCCGACGTCGGCCGTTTGTTCGTCCAATTATCGATCATTTCGTCCACCCGTCCGTCCGTCTTCGACGCCTCTCGACGAGTGAAAAAAAAGTCTATGCAAACAATCCTGGTAACAGAAGTGTTGATATGCCTTTGCAATGTTAGCTAATTACTAGCTTTTTTCTTTTCTTTTCTTTTTTTTGAAAATTTACATAATTATAAATAATTCTAATTATCAAATTTTTATTTATAAATTAATTATTATTAACAAGTGGTGGCTCTCCTTCACGGTATGTCGCACACACATAGAAAAACTTGCCTTGTAAATCAAAGCATATGTCCTATAAAGTCAAACATATATTGAAGGTCTTATAGAACATCACCACGTAGCCCCTAGTTGGATAGTATATATAGAGATAAGAGTGAAGTCTTCTTCACTCTTGTCAACTCCTTTCTTCCTTCTAGTCTAGTTTCAAGAGTCTAAAGTTTTCTTGTCTTTTGGCAATAGGCCATTCTAGTTTCTTTTTAATATATGTACTTTCTTATTACTATTTTGTCACTTTTTCTTTGACCCAAATTTCATTGATTTATGCATCATCTTCCAATTTATGTCCTTGACAGATTGACGAGAGTATACTTATAATATTAGAGCTTTGTCTTGTTTTGATTAAGAGTGGATTACCCATTTTTCATGATAAGACATAAGCATATTAGAAATTGTAGATTATTCTCCTCTAAACTGATATTGTTGTTAGTATTTTTTATTTTATTTATTTAATTTTTTTTTTATCTTCAAGTCATTTCTTTTATTTATCTTGAGTGGTATTAGATATTTCTTTGAATGTTATTATGGAAGAGCTTGTTGAAATGAAGAGTGCAATGGTACAAATGCAAGAGCAATTGAGGGAGTTGATGCTTGCAATGCGTAAACTTAGCTTACCACCACAAGGATCAATAAGAATGGCAAGAAATAAGGATATAGAGTTGATTAGAGCTGCATCAACATGTGCACTAAATCATGTACTTTCATCCACAGTAGAACATCCTTCAAGTGTTAGAGAACGAAGAGTTGCCTTGTCTGAGAAGTTTGATGGTACAAGATCCAAATTTTGAGGATTTATCAATCAAGTACAATTTGTGATTAAATTTCAACTTCAAAGCTATCTAAGTCCAAGATCACAAGTTAGATTCATTGATATACTTCTTTCAAGTTCAGCACAATCGCGGTTTTTTATCTTTTTTGAACAACGAGATCTAATATTGGATAATCAGGATGCATTTTTGGTAGAATTTTGGTCCATGTATGGAAAACATGATGCAACTCATATTGCAACCAATAAGATCCATATTTTGTGACAAGACAATCAATTTGTAACATTATATACTTCACAATTTTGACAACTTACAATTGATATCAAGTAGAATGATGTTGCATTTATTAACCAATTTTTTTATGGATTATAATATAAAGTAAAGAAATTGATGGTCAACTTATCTGTTCTTCAAACATTGAGTTAAGCAATTGTCTTTGTTGTAAAGAATGACAATCAATTTTTTGAATTTTGATTTGAGAATTGCATAAGTGGGCCTCAATGTTATTACAATTTGATGGCAACACCAATATTTCTTCAATATATACATTAAAAAATAGAGGATATGTAAATTGATGCAATACATTTTAATCTTCTTATCGAGCAAGAAAAGACTTGTCGCCATATTTGTAAGAAAAAACTTGCTTGAAGACATTTATCAAGAAGGATTGTGCTTATATTATAGAGAACCTAAACACACTAATCAATATTGTCCAAAGAAGCGACAAAACTACAAAATGAGGAGCACAGCTATCAAAGAAGACAATGTGTTGAAAAATAAATTTGTCCAACTACAATAGGGACCGTGCGGCTTAAATCTTGTACAATTTTTAATGAAGGTCCTATCCTCTCTTCAAAACCCTCTTCTTCTTTTATAATACATGTGCATTTAAGACCTAATAATTATAAAGCCTATGCCTTGATAGATTTAGGAGCCTCAGCTTGTTTCTTAGACATAGAATTTGTTAAAAGTCATAAAATATCGTTAGTACAAAAAACTAAATCTATTCATGTAGAAGTCATAGATGGTCGTCTGTTGTCTTTTCGAGATGTTATTCATGAAACACTTCCTATAGATGTTGCAATAAATGGTCATAGTAGTTGTGTAATCTTTAATATAATTAGATCTCCCTCTAATCCAGTCAGTTTAGATTTATCGTAGTTAAAAAAGTATAATTCTTATATAGATTGGATTTCTTGTATTCTTGACTTCTTTAGAAATATAACTAAGAGTGAAATTAATCTAATAGAAATTCATAAGTCTAGTACAATAAAACCTGTGTTTGTAAGTGTGCAAGCTTTCTTGTATGCTACAAAAAAAGGATCATCTTGTTTCATTTACACCACAACTATTTCTAATGATGCAAAAACTCCAAGTGGCATTCCAAGTCAATATCAAAAATTTCAAAATGTATTTGAAAAGAAGAATGTGGATACTCTTCCAGAACATTGTCTCTGTGACTGTTCAATTGACCTTCAAGAAAGAACACAACTGCCATTTGGACCAATCTATAGTTTATCACAGAACAAATTAGTTGAATTCAAAGAACATATTGAAGAAAGTTTAGCCAAGAATTTCATACGATATTCCAAATTACCAATAGCAGCTCCAATTTTATTTGTAAAAAAAAAAAGATGGATTATTGCAGATGTGTATTGATTATTGAGGATTCAATAACATCACTATCAAGAATAGGTACCTTCTACCTTTGATATTCAAACTTCTGGATCAACTGAATCAAGCTAAGATCTACATAAAAATAGATCTACGAGGCGCATACAATCTACTACGTATTAAAGAAGAAGATGAATGGAAGACTACATTTCAAACATGGTCGTCTTCTCGCTGTCGTATTACATGTTGTCTTGCTCAGGAATGCACCGGGTACCTAGTTGTAGAAGATGAGGTTGTATTTCACAAGTATTCAAGAAAGTTTCACTCATACAAGAAGAATATAATCTGAATTTTAATTAAAAAGTCCTAAAATACTCTTCTTATTAGCCTTAACCTTACATAAATCCCAATTACCTTGTTACTTTCATATTTAAGCAATTTAGATTTTTCTTGTAAGCCCCAATTCTAATTAGTGAGCTTTAACAAGCTGTAACATCCAATCCAACCATCCACTTGATGTAAAATTTTGCATGCAATTGTCAATGTAAGTCTTCTATATGCTCAAAATTTTTTAGTCCAATCCAACTTACAAATTGTGAGAAAACCTCCAAAAATTGCACCAATGTCACTTGGTTACCAACTTGAAAAGTAAAGTAAAAATCCCAGCTGTGATTTCTTCCTTTTGAAATATTAACTTTGACTCAAAATTGGTGTACAGCTTGATCTTCAAGTCCTTCAATACCATGCCAAATTTCACTTTGATCCAATTGGTAGATGTCAAGATATCATAGAAATGCTACCTAACCTCAAACTGCCAACTTCTGAAACTATCTTGTGCTAAAAACCAAATATCTCTAAACTACACTGTTAGATTATAACAAAATATTTTATACCCTTAGCACACCCAATAATCCAAAAAATATCAAATTTTTAATTATAGATGTTACACTAATTACACAAACTAGCCAAAATTGCAAGTCTTAATTATATTATATAAAAACCAAATCACTAATACAAATCCTAACTTTGAATAACAATTTTTAAGTCTTCAAAAATCCTCCAAAAACAATCCTTAAGCCTTTGAAAAGAACTTTAAGCTAGCTCTCAAATCCTATCCTTCGATCTTCAAATGAATCCCTATTTTATCCTAAGCCATCATTTTTGTAGCCAGAGGTTTGATTTTAATCATGTCTCATAAACAGCCAACTACCGGGTATCAATCTAATCTATCCTAAGGATTTTTTAGCCCAACCTTACTCTGAACTTAATCCTAGTATCAACTATATTAATTATTTACCTCTTTTAACCTAATTTTATTAATTTATGGTCTTTCTAAGGTAGTAGAAGAGTCTCTACAATGTAGAATTACTAACTAACTTTCAACTTACTAACTATTAAGATAAGAAAATAATCTAAGGGGCTTATATAAAAGCCATGTTTAGACACCTCAAATTATAATTGAACTAAGATAATTAGATATTAATTAGAAATTTAATTTTGATTATAATTTCACTATATAGTCGTATTACATCACGACATCGCCCTAGTATTGGATACTATCGATGGTTGAGAGGCCCTATTAACAATCTTAAAAGAGAATAAAGATTTGAGTATGTGACAAACACAATTTGTTGCATCATAGATTTTCTCAACATATGATGATTGCTTCTAGTGAAACTTCTTCTTAAAATGGAGGTAATGTCATGGATATACACATGTAAGCTAGTAATTACTTATATAAATAAATAGAAGTAGATAAAAATAGATAAAAGTAAGTTCATTCTATAATATCTTCTAAAAAAGCTTCCTAAAGGTTCATAGACGTTGCTTTGACTTTATAGGTGTCCATTGTTGACTATTAGGTTAGAAACTTGGTTAACAAGTTAATCATGTGCCATACATATTAGTAGCTTGAAGAACAAGCTAACTATGTGCCGTATACATAGAAAAACTTGCCTTGTAAATCAAGGCATGTGTCCTACAAAGTTAACACATATTGGAGGTCTTATAGAACATCATCTCATATCCCCTAGTTAGTTAGTATATATAGAGATAAGAGTGAAGTCTTCTTTACTATTGTCAACTCTTTTCTTGCTTCTAGTCTAGTTTCAAAAGTCTAAAGTTTTCTTGTTTTTTAGCAATAGGCCATTCTAGTTTTTTTTTTAATATACGTACTTTCTTATTTCTATTTTGTCACTTTTTCTTTAACACAGATTTCATCGGTTTATATATCATCTTCCAGTTCATGTCCTTGATAATATCCTTCCATCCGTTGATATGATCAAATTCCACTACACGCATTTGATAGCTTCTGTCTATGACCGCTTACCTCTTCAGATGTGGTTTGGTTGTTCATGGTTTTGATTATGTGATAGGCTTCAATGTATGGGATTTGAATGTAGATTGTGAGTATGATGTGTGTATTGTAAGGATTGTATGTTGTTGAAAGCAGATGAATACTATGGAGCCTTAAGTTGGAATTGTACTTCATTTGCATATGATGGTTTAGATTTATGTTTTTGCAGACCTTCACGATTCCATTAATCATGCTTTGTTTCTCTTTCTAATCACTTGTATTATGAGGTAGTTTATTATTAATTATTATGATATAGGAGTTAGCTGATGTTGACCTTTTTAAGGGAGTCACATCTCTTTTCATGGCTATACCTATAGTTGTAAGTTCATGGTAGAGATAACTTTTTTCATCTATTCTAAAGTTTTATAATCTTCACTCATAGCCTTTTTTGAGTTAGAATAGCATATTCTTTAAGTCTCATAGCAAACCTTATATTTTACCTATAAGTATTCTAAGATGGTAATATACCAGTTGTGGCTATTTATACCGGTGACAAATTATTATACAGGATAGCAATCGATTGTTGCATATCAAATGTGTAGCAAGAAAAAACGAGCACACAATGAGAGAAACAGGCCTTCTGCTTTGAAATGTAGCTCTAACTTTTGCCACGATGTTGGAAGTTAATCCAACACACATATTTGGAGGTAAGCCGCCGTAGGCAAAAGTCATACTTGAGGTGGTAAAACACAATTATATCCAAGAAGGTAAAATACAAGTCGAGCAAGTTTTTAAGTTTCAGTAATAGAATCAAAGTGGACACATAGAGTAGTTCATCTAGAATAGTATAAAAACTTGCTCGACTTGGTTTTCTATTAGCAAACTTGATACATCTTTTTCTCTTTCTTTCTCTCTCTATATATATATATATATTACAAACTTTAAGAACTATTTTGTGATCATTGCATAAATTTATGGAGAGTGCAATAAAGTATGTTTGATATATTTGATATATTTGAAATATAGAACTCTTGCAATTGGATCTTTTCTAAGTTTAAACGAGTAAAATTTACAAGTAAATTCCATCAATGATCTTAGATTTTTCAGCTATATCATTTGTTTTATATTAATTTATTTTAGAGTTATTGATTTTGTTTGTGCCTTCTGGTATAGGTTGTATTAGATGATGAGAAGAAGCTATTGTATATGATTAGTATAGAGTATGATTAATAGAGATCAATAACTTAATTGTTTGTAAAATTATTGCGAGAGATACAAATTTTTAGTTTTCTATTCTACTAGGATCCGATCGAAATTGATTCAAAGTCAAAAAGAGAGGGAGGATTTGCTTCTTCTTAAGCATTCCTGAAATTAACAAAGTACTTCTGAAATTTCAATCTTCAAGAAATTGTTAGGTTTCAATTACATAATTGTTCTAGATCTAATAGACATCAAAGAATTTTTCTCCAAGAGGTAATCATTTTCAAAGTAGAAGCACTACATTGATGACAAAAATGTAACTTAGACAAGTGAGATAGTGATGGCAAGTCCATTGTGACCTTGTAAGAAGCATTGGATTGCAAAACATTAGATCATTTTGTGATTGTGAACTAAACCAAGGCCTTTGAACATATCTTCTACTATGGATTCCAATGCAATACATTGGATAGGATGTCATACATAGGATAATTCTCATAAATTCAAGAGTAAGAGAAGTGGAATTTACTTAATGTTGAAAGAAATAAGAGTAGTGATACACTTAATAGCCACAATGTCAATAGTCATGTCATGTCTCTATCATTGACATTGCACATTCTAGATGAATTTTCATTTAATTGTATATACATTGATTTTAATGCTTCATTTGAGTCACACTTTCCATGACAAAAATACAAGTCCATCTTTTATATATGTATATATATATATATATATATATTCAATACTATATGAGAATATAATTTCAAAATTTTATTAATAAATAACTTTGAAACATATTGTACACATTGTGGTATCTATACTTGTAAATTTATATTTAATTCTTTTCAAGTATTTTATTATATATTTAATCTTTACTTCTCATTTAGTATTAAATAAACAAGATTCTCTAATAAATCAAGTGTACAAAATTCATGTCTTGTAATCTTTTTTGAATTGTTAGACATGGAAGTAATTATCTATTTCAAACAAGAAAAACTTGGATCTATTTTGCTTTATTAAGGGTTATAAATCATTATTAATATGTATAATTATTAAGATTTACAAATTGAAAACTGGCATTCAACTATGGGTATTTCAACATTTAGAAGGCTTCGAAAAAAGACTTGACACACAACATAGCCAACGAAGCTTTTTTCAAATGCAAATTTTCTCATGTTTCAATGTAATTGAGCACTATGCTCCACTTGTTCTGTCAAATTAATCGGCAATGATATCACTCTGCGGCTCAGGACTATCAGAACTAAGTCGTAATAATGGAATACAACCTTCAAATATTCTAAAGAATAATTCTACCATATACTGAATAGTTGCTTCATAATTGAACTCGATTAACTGGGGGGAGATAATAATAGAATATGAATAGAAGACAAAAAACACCTAGTTAGAGTGAAGGGTGAAGTGGGGACAGGGGCCAGGAGAAAATGTCGAGGATTCTGCGCCTGCGTCACCCCCTTTGTTGTGTAGAGCAAATTGAAACCTTTGCATCTGACAGAACTACGAAGACGATAGAGAGTGGCGGAATTGAAACAGGGGAGGAATTCTCCTTCACAACAGGATCCATGCTGGGAAAATCCCCAGTCGAAGTCAGCTCAAGAGGCACTCCGTTCAGCAAAGTAGTTTGACTATGAAGATCTTGCTGTGGAGCCGATAAATGATATTCGAATCTCACCAAATCAGGTCTTGAACCTTTGGATGTTTTTGGTATAAGTTGATACTTTAATTTCTTTTCACCATGTGACAATGGTTTATTCTTTGGATGTGATAGGAGGTTGGCTATCACGTTCACCGTGGAATTCGATAAATTAATCAGCATCATCGTAACACCATCCTGCGGGAAGTAACATGTGTTCATAGGTCATCTAGAATGGACAGAAAGTAAAAATTTGGCTAGGAAACTTTGACAAACCAGTAAGACTTTACGTGCGATGACGCTTAGGTCAGGGTTCTCAAATTGAATAACTCCAGCATTGTATTGTTCGCTGGCATCAGCAACGACCCAAATAGAAAGTGTGGCCCAAACATCAAGTACAAATGGAGTGATCTCTGATTCCATACCGTGGAGCCTTGCTGGCAATGTGTGTACGTTCTCAATTGAGGATATCCTTTTAAAGTCGTTCCTAAGACTTTTGTTCCCATCAAACGCTTCCATAAAAGTGCACTGCGATCATTTTTCAAAACCTGTTAGAATCTTGATGTGAATCTTTCTTCAAACTCTACGAATAAAGAGGAACTCCACAAGGTACGCTAACCCCCTGACATTCTGTATGGAATCTCCAATACAGATGGTCACCTGGTCTTCGAGATACTGCATGAAGAATCATTTGTGGATCACCAGATTATTCCCAACTTATGAAAAAGCAAGAACTCCCATCCACCATTACGAGGAAAGTTATGTTAAACGTTCCTCACCTGTACATATCTGGATTAGGTTTATAAGAAGTGGTGTTGAGCAGACCATAATTACCGCCGATCAGACTCTGACGGCAGTAAACCTTGTTATTGAAAGATGCAGCCATCCCTAATTGATCCAAGTACCTGCTCCACATATTGCATCACTATTACAATAGTAAGGGTCCTATTCGAGCATCCATAAGGATCAATTCAAGGAACATGAGAGAGTGCGCATGTAAAAAGTGCCTGTATTCCGTTAAGTGGTAGACATTTCGAACCACAAGCGTATGAAAGGACTGACATAATAGTTCTCTGAAAAAAACATAAAAAACTACAAATTAAAAACAAGGAACGAAATGGTCTCTCACAGTCACAGCAATCCAGCAGATAGAACTAAAAATCGATCCAGATAGAAGAAATGCAAATTGAGTGGTCAGATGCTGTACTAACCAGAAGCTGAAAACAAAAGCATCAGTTACAAGATGATGGCCGCTATTATATGCTCCACCTGCTTCACCCACCCAAGCTGATGCCGACGTAGCCGAGGTTTGAAGAATCTCCTGGACTGCACGAAAGTGACCTAATTCGTTGTCCAAGTAGGTAGAATTGAGTATCTTTTCGACCAGATCGTTGCTAACCCCTACATTGAGAGGGAATGGTTAGGTTCATATATACAATTCCGAAAAGGTGAGATTTGAATACCTATAGAGATTTCGAGGTAAGTTAAGAATAAGAAGTAGAATCGTAGTTTCATTACACAAGTCTAGAAAGAAAGAAAGAAAGAAAGAAAGAAAAAAGAAAAAAGAAAAAATTCAGCAGAGGAACTCAATCTCATGTAATTACATAGGTATTTGGCTCTGTCAAAAGAACAAACCTGGCCCAAGATTGTAAATGTGACGCGTGACTACGTCCACGACACCAGGACCTGACGCATTGAGGAATCTGGTGAACCACTGAGGATTGAAGAATCCATCCGGGGCAACCAGCAGAGGCCGCCGAGTAAAACCTTCATAAAGAGAGTCTATTATCAAACGAAGCTCCATCACATCTCGCGCATACTGCTCAGCAGAAATGGAAGTGCCAACACCATTTGCAGTGAGCTCATTTCCTGCGATTGCACATCAAATTAGCGAATGTTTTTCTATTAGCAGTCTTTGCATTTAATTCACACCGACAGCAGCAGCTTAATCATGCCAACGGTTGAAAGATTGATGAAAATTTTCTAACCAGTTCAATGCATATCTGCATCACACAAGAGAGTCGAAAGAGAGAGTCGAATTATTCCAATAGAGCAATTGATTACCCAATTCCCATGCGTCTACTTGAATGTCTTGGTCAATTGTAAATTTGATGAAATCTCGTGCGTTTGATGAATCCCAAGGACCCCATACACCTCCTACTTGAGGGCGATTGATCAAAGCATTAAGTCCAAAAACGGCGAGGGATCTGCAAGTGCGAGCAATTCAAATAATTAATTCCTTAGAAATAGGGAACTGGTAACCTATTTCAAAAGATTAAGACTCCTCAAACATTAACCAAGTTTACTGTTCCATCCACGGTCCAGACATAACGTTTTTTGATGACTTAACGCTGTTCCTTCCTAACAGGCACTAAATTGGACACTGATATGGACAAAGGTTGCCAGTGACCCTCAATCCATCGTCCCTTGCACATCAGAGCAGATACTTAGACAAGGAGTTGAAATCCAAGTGCAATACTATACTTGCAGTGCTAAAACAAATCACGTCGACTCATAGCCACTGAGGCAATTTAGTGTATTCATACCCGGTTTTAGAGAATAGCGTGTTGAGAGCAATCCATCGCTCCATCGACAAACAACCTTCCCGAAATCCAAACATGTCTGTTCCGTCTTTCACTATGGGCAGGCATGACTGTGAAGGACTTAATCCTATGTCGTAGACAATGTGATCTTGCAAAGTTCCTCCTAGCCGGATTCGGAAAGGTTGTAAAGCTGTGATTCCAATTAATCACATCAAGACCAGAGGAAGCAGATGAGCAAGCTTCTCGATCTGTCAAAATTTAGCAAAAGCGGTGCTAAAGGCTGTGAACAAAAATTTAAAACTCGATATAAAAAAGCTGCTTCATTGCCCAAAAATCCTTGCAGGCCACAGGTCTCTTCCTACAGAAAAAAGTTTCATGTCTAACAATGTTGCCTGCCTAAAAACACACCAAAAAACTGCAAAATGCGTGGGTGGATGAAAAGCACCGGGATGTCATACCTTTGAGAGACTTCTCTAGCAATGGATTAGCGAGATCCTGCAATGCAAGCACGGAGGTATGTCTTCGATCAAAAGCCATTTTGACGACATTGTTTCGTGCTTCATAGGCACGATGTACACAATTACATGTCTTTTCCAGATCTAGGTGGTTAGCATCTGCTAGCAATCGTCACTGCTTACAACAAGTAAAGTTGCGAATGAAATAAGGTAAGCCATCTTCCTGCTAGAAAATATACAGATCTTTGTAAACAAGCACAGATGGACTACGTAGAGGAGGATACTGCAAGCTAGTCTCAACATGTCGGGTCCTTGAGTTGATCATGTCAGTATCGGTTGCCATAAGGGCAAAGTGTTACCTCCTCTAGGAGTTAGTCCTACATCGTGAGTTCCAAAAGAAAAACAGTATCGCTTCCGATTCATTCTGTCTTGTCGTTAATTTATACTGCTTCTGCTTCAGCAATATTTCAGGTCCGTTAAGCCTCTGCATCTTTGTTGCTTACATAGGCCTAGAATACTTTGATTTGTGGCTGTCCAAATTAATTACTCAAATATGTTCTTCCATTCAGGTAGGACGCTCACATTTTTTTTACTTAAAGTTTTAAAAGACTTTCAGCGATGCACTTCTGACTCCATGGCCATTGAACAGAGCCCGGGAGTGGATTCGATGTTAGATGCACGCAACTACAGTAATACTCAACAAATAACTTTTAAACTATATTTTCGATAACCTGCAAACATGGTCGCGGACGATCTAATGACCTGTGATAAAATGAGAGTAATATGGTGGAGACAGTTGGAGCAAGTGATCATATTTCGTATACGAGGAAAAATAGTGACTCAAGGTCGAGGTCAACATACGAACAGGATTGAAAAAACATGTAAATAAAAAAGATTCTAAATTTGACTTACAAGGTTAAGGAGTGATGATTGACCCCAGGAACAAGTTCCATAGTCACATTTGTCAGGAGGCCACCAGTCCAACGTAGCACATATAAATGCCTCGTCTGTTGTAGCCAGAATAGCACTGCCTTCCACTTCAACCACAAGTATGCCATCATCGCCATCATTTTTCGCACAGCTCTTCTTGCTATTAGAACATGAATCATGCTTGGCGGAAGCGGACACAAGCACGGACACCCAAACCAACCATCGAATTAATCGTATAAATGACGGGTGCTCGTGCGTACTTTCCATCCTCACTTCAGCATAGCGGGCTCAAGGCCTAGCACGTACGGCAGTACTGGAAGTTGAGACGAAATTCGAACCTCAGAGAAACTGCATTTAGATTGGCTTCACCTCCCAGCTCCCTCCGTAAACTCGGCTGTATTTGTCCAGGTCTCACAGATTCTTATTCCCATGGACAACGTAAGTCTACAACCGCAGAGAATTCACGCACCGGCCGATTTATCATCTCGCTCGTCGACCATCTCCATTACAACATAAAAAAGATGTTTAGGAGAAGCTGGTATGCAATCAAGCTGTGCATTGCCGAGCTCCAATGTCACACTATTGACCTCTACAAGCTGCTCTCAGCCACAACAAAACTCCCCCGTCTTATTCCTCCTCAGAAGTGACAACGAATAGTCTTTCCTCCATAAGAATCCACCAGAAACGTTTCCCGAGAAATTTTCCAGGACGTCAACGCCGCAGGAATGAGAGAATCATGAGAGATTCACCTGAAGCTAAGCATGGCGCCGCTGTCTTCTACCACCACCCCCCTAGCGTTATGCGAGCCAGCCCCCTGACAAAGCTGGACCTAAGCTGCATGCTGCGATTCAGAGCTCCAAAAGCCTGACAGAATCAAGCTGGGCTCAAATTCAAATCACGTGCGCGTGGGAACTAGACAAGGGAAGAGGCGGGCGAGGGAAATTTGAAAGTGGAATCCGAGTATGTGTTCCTATGGCCGCGGAAAACGACGGAACCCACGGCAGAGGGAGCCGCTCGCGCAGCCTCGGGTTTAGGCCCGAGCTTTGGCCAGTGCCAAAGTCCATTCTAAGGTAGAGTTTTAGAAACTTCCCTGAGCAAAGTAAGAAATATAATTAGTAGGAACTAGTCAATAATATTTGCCGTAACAGTGGTAATGGAAAAGGGAGCAGTTATTGGTAGACGATGACTTTCTTCAATGCTACGTACCAGGTAGTGTTTTTATAACAGCCCCCTTGTTTTTATAAACTAATAGTCCTTAGAAATTGGGTATTGTTGTTCCCCCATGTCATGTAAGATAACTGCCTCTTCAAATGCATTCACATGGAGGTGGACCAAGTATTGCAGTAGTACAGGCAAGTTGGCACTGATGAACTGGCCGACCAAACCCTAAAACCCAATCTCTCTAACTGGAGCACTACACCCCAACTTAGAAGAGAGTCAGCCCTATTTGGGTGGAGTGCCCAGCTGGAAGTGGGTAGTGAGTGACAAGGAGAGTGAGAATCCCTGCACTCTACTTTCGGACACTCAACATATTGAATGAATGTGCATTAGTTTTTCTGCTATTTTAAGATTATACACAAAAATATGTATGTATGTATGTATGAATGAATGACTGAAACCAACCAACTCATTTAATATATAAATTGTACATAGATAATTAATGAGAGAATCAAATCACAGCAGTACATCTTTCATTGAATGTGAAATATGTATATGTATATATATATATATATAAGTGTGTGTGTGTGTATATATATATATGTAGAGATACAGGTCTAAGAACAAAAAGAAAAATTGCAAGAATGTATTGATTTTAGATAATATTGATGAGTTTTAATTTTTTATTTTATTATTTTGATTGAACTTATAATGTTATGGAATTTGATGGAGAATATATATATATATATATATATATACACATATATCAATACAAAATTTGTTGACAATGTTTCTTGACTTTTTCTAAAAACCACATCTTTGAGATGGGTCCTATAGATATTCTAAGAAACAATACTATTCATGTCATATTATAAAAAAAAAGTGCTTTCTATCTTATTTTTTCTTCTTAGGGCCTTTGAACTTATTTAAAAAAATTAAAAAAAAAAATCATTCGGAATATTCCAGCTAACACAAGCACTTTACAAATTTTTATTCTTTACAACACTAATTTTTATAATTTCTGTCACTTGAATTTTCGATTCATTCAACATACGGCTTCAAGAATTTCAGTTAAAGATGAATCACTGAATCTTAATTAAATAAATTTCACACCACTAAAAGAACCAAGTCTTGTAAGACACACAATCATCACTTCCAAATATAAAACTATTCTATCACATTCAGTACACTTATTATTAATATTAATATTGATATTATTACTATTACATATAGATAGATAGATAGATAAAATATTACCAAAAAAATTCCCTGACTGTAGAATCATACAAAAAGACTTTGCAAAAAAATGCATAATCTTTTTTGAGAAATAACTTTCAAGTGTAGAATTGTTTTGGAAAACATCATGTTTCAATAGAACGTTCTAATTTCGGAAAATAGTCCTTACAAAGTTTACGTACAATCTTTTTAAACACTGTAATTAGGATTGTAAAAGTACATTTTTTTAACATGTATTTTTATTAAAAGGTACAAATTAGATATAAATTAAGTTTCTGTACCTTTATACTTTAAAAAGGATTTGTTAAAGATGTATACTCTAATAAAAAACATGTAACAATTTTGGTTGTGAGTACTTCTACCACACTTGCAACTATAAATACTAATAGCCTATTAGCATTTCTTCTCAAGAGTAACATCATCACTTCATGAAAATCTATTAAACGCTGTTAAAGCTTATTATACACAGTCATTAAAAATGTAGCAGTATAAACTAGGTGCCTGCTGATGAAGGATTTATGAATATTGAAAAACTAGAATGTGAATGATCCCTACATTAAGCACAATGCCTTCTCTATGTCTTCACTAGTGACTTTAAAATGGTTGCATTATTTAAAAGAGCAAGTAGTTTGACTTGAGGTAAATTAATACTCATCCTATCATTATAATATGCTTTGGATAAATATATATATTTTGTTTCGCCAGCTTCCCTCAACGAACGTGGCTGTAGTTTAGTGGTGAGAATTCCACGTTGTGGCCGTGGAGACCTGGGCTCGAATCCCAGCAGCCACAATCTTTAGATTATATCTAGAAAATCGTATTTTTTGCATAATTTTATTTGTTCCAAGGCTTGGCAATTCACAGCCAAGTAGAATTGAAAGTTATTACCTGAACTGTAAGAATTTTTAAGGGATGCTGATTTTTAGGTGAATTAACGCTGCACCGATATTTTCAATGAAAACTTTGACATTTGATCCTATTCGGTATTTATTTCATTAATACACTTCGACTGGTGTTATTTGATGTCAATCATGAAAGCATTTGTAACTTGGTTTACAACCTGGTTTTTTGTTATTTTTATTTTTGGTTGTAGTAATATGTAACAAAGGTCGTCTAAGCTCAAAATCAAAGATGATTTAATGGAATAAATTACCTAGTCTATAAGTATTATTTTACTTGCCTTTCATGAAGTGCAAAAGATATTTGTGTTTTATTATTTATGATCATACTAGATTGTTATTAAAAAAAGAGAAAATAGTCACCTAAACCATACTTTTATTTTATCATAGAAATGGTAACTCATTTCTATAAAAAAAATATTGTGGTTCTAAATGTTGATTCTTAATTTGCACCAAAGTCCATATAAGATTATACATAGATAGTAAATGGAAAAATAGACTTTATATTTGAAATTTTTTAGTATTTTTTTAATGGTGATATTCAAAGAAAATATAAAAATCCATTTGTTGAATGCAAAGATAATAAAAATTATTTTTCCATTTTTATATTTAACCCTTCTTATGTAGGAAAGTTTATTTGATATATGATATTTTTTCTAAAATAATAAAAAAACATGTCTTACATTAATAAAAATATTTATTTAACATTTCAATTCTGCAAAAATTATGTTTGGTGGTTGTACAAGAATTTTTTGAATTATGTTGTGCTATTGAACAAGAAATTTCAATCAATAGATCCAAAGAGTGTCTTTTCTTATCTAAATTTGTATTAAAAGATGTTTGGTCTTTAAGCCACTTCTTAAAATGACATCACCTTCATTGTAGAACTATGTAATTGTAGAACTAGGTAAATACAAAATCAAAAGAATTGATGGAGTGGGGGTGCAAAAACAAATAAAAACAATCAATTGTTAGTACTAATCAAACTCATTTTTTCTAGTTAACATCCGCAAGTACATCATAGAGTAGTATTCTACAAAGTTCTAAGAATACTTGAATGCTTGATGACAAAAACAAAATCTTCCAATGCTTTTTTAATATTCTTCTCACAAATATAAAAAACAAAGTATTGTTAACAATAGTAAATATTACTTTGTAAAATTAATTAAATCATTAAAATAATTTTTAATGATATAATTTTTTTTTAAAAAGAAGTAATTGCTAAAAACATTGTAATGAGATTATTGATTCTTATTCACAAAGAACAAAATGATGGTATCCAAACCATCATTTTGTATAAGGTAATTCTAAGAATACAATTCAATTTGACCATATTGCTTCTTTTTTGGTATGTGGTCTATAAATTTAACAATTTTTTCATATAACTTAGAAGAATTAATATTGTACTGGCACATCTGCAAAAACATGATGTTTGTATTTGTAACAATCTCAAATATTGTATTATTTGATCAGCATCATTGCAACTCATCTTTGATATTATGAATGTATGTTGGATATCAATAATTGCTGCTAATATTTCTATCAATGATTTTAAAAACTCCTACTTGCATACTTGCATTTAGTGGTTTTAATAATCACACACACACACACACACACACATATATATATATATATATATATATAAATGATTCTCTTATAGGCAATAAATGAACTATTTATATTACGTTTTTAGAATCAACTTTAATTTCTTGTTTCTCCTTTCAATTTTTATTTTTATTATCCTTGCTATGAATTTATTAGATCAATTTTTTTTTTCAAATCTTATTACAACCTTCTTACAATTACTATTTAGATATGACTTGTATTTACAAATTTCTTAGAGTTTTTATTTTATGTTCATTTCTAAATCAAGTTCAAATAATCATTTTATGTAGAAATCTTCAAATATATTATTTATTTTTAGTTGCAAAAAATTTCCTAATCTAAGAAAGACTAATATTTCAAATAATGATGTTATTTAAACTTTAACCATCATATATCTTATCAAGATATATGATATTGTGATATTACATATAAGCTTGTTGTACTTGGACTTGAACATTTTATCAAACAAATTTATTAATAAATTATTAGCTAATATAAGAAAGTCTCTTAGTTTAAGATGTATTATTAAGATCACAACATTGTAGTTTTCTTTTCTTTGCTATTAAAGTACTTCATTGTTATATGTATTAATCTTCTTGTTTTATTCAACTTCTTAATTGATAGTAAGTTAGATTTATAACATATCAATGTTTTTTAGACCATTACATGACTTTTATTTAGAAGAAGGTATTTTTAATGCCTTAAAACATAATTACTACAACTTATAAATCAGATAAACAACCAACAAGGCTTTGTCAATGTATTTGTATCAAAGCCTCATATTATTGTGTATACAAGAATTAAATCACTTCTCAATCTAAATTATAAGGTTGCATTCATTTACTTTTTTATAATTATAGATGTAAAATTAAAAAAAATACACTTGGTTATTCTTGTTCTTTTTAATAAAACTACAATTATTTCAAACTTGACATCACTATGTATCACGGACATACTCATGTAAGCTAGTAATT